GGGGCAGATCTCCTGTGGCAAGGACGATGAACTCCTCCTCCATAAAGAAGGGATCCGGTGCAAGCTCCCATAGGAGGAGATACTTTTTGAACATAGCCATCCATGCACCAGTGGGGATAACCAGATTCAGATTGTCGGCGGTCAGGAAGACCATTACACCCTGGAACTGAAGCAGTGTAGGTTGTTGGATACGCGTCTGGATGGCCTGCCATAGTGGGGCCAGACCCTCTGGGGGGAGAAAGTGCCGAAAAAGCTGGACGCGAGGTGCACTGCTGCTGTGACTCACACGGCCCTCAACCCATCGCGCGGTGGCATTGAGCCTTATGTGATCGGTGCTGGAGGGGATGTGGCCCAGCAGGGCGGTAGAGTAGCACTCATGGAGGGCAGGAAGAACAATCTGATCGGTCCACAGCCGGTACTCATCCTCGCGGATGATGAAGTGCTGGCGCTCGGGGTCATGTAGTTTGGGAAACAGGGCGTAGAGCTCTAGATCCTCGAACCCACCCAGCCGGCCCGGGGGAAGATGTGGGATCTGGTGGATCGGTCTCTGGCTGCGCCGGGGGCATGAGGCCTCTGACGAGGGCTCCCATGTCACGGGGATTGGAGAGAGATGCAGCCCTGCCTGGAGGGAGGACACAGGGGGCCTAGCTGCCAGCCAGTGAATGCCCGCCCGGGCCACAGCGAGGCTGGAGGCGAATCCCCCCACGCTGTCGATATCCATGGATGGCATCAGTGGCCCGTCGGGGACGTCCTCCGAGGCGATGTCCACGGTGGGTGGTTCTGGAGGGGTGGAGTCATCCCTGACATCCAGCCCACTGAAGATCTTCTGCCTCTGCAGTGGGGGGAGCTGTTCATCCCAGGGCTCCCCAAATTGAGCTATCTGTGGCCGCGACAGGATATCCGGGCAGGCCCACTGGATGATCTCACTCAGGCGCACAGAGTGGATGGGCCGGGATGGTGTCGCCTTGGAGGGGAAGGGGGTCCCAGGCGGGGATGGATGGTCAACAGGCCGCATGTCGAAGGGATACTCCCAGTGGCTGTCCCCCAGACAGCCATGGTGCTGCTGCAGCTGCTCGGCAAGCCCTTGGGCAAGAATGGACACTGGAGCCTGGGGTGGTGGTGCCGCCGCAGAGGGTGGTGATGAGAGGGGTGATAAGGCCTCAGCAGTTGGTGAGAGAGGAGCTGTGCTTGATCTCCTGTGCTCTACATGATGGATGGCCTCTGGGGTCATCCTGTAGCTGGATTGGCTTCTATCTTCCACATCATCAAATGAATCCACATCTGCAGATGGACCATCCATATCGAACCACCTGTTATCATCTGCAAGGGCGTAATGGCTCACCGTGGATGCTGGTGTGGGAGACTGAGGGGGCGGGTGGAGGCCACCAGGTGATGAGGGTGAGAAAGATGAAGAGTTTCCAGGTTCATTGTTCCCAGGTTCATTCTGCATGGGGAGAGCCTGCTTTTGAACCACAGAGACATCGGTCCTCTGCTGGAGCAATGGTGGGGACACATCCAAAGGCTGTTCCCAAGGATTCTGGTCAACTGGGATAGAATGGTAGCTTGATCAGCTCTCCACATGTTTGGTGCTGGCAGGGAAGAGTCTTACTGAACTGATGATAATATCGCTGCAGGATCTGACCTTCCTGGAGATCCCGTTTGAGCTGATACTGAGTGCGTCTGCGCTTACGTCGAGCCTCCTGCTGAGCCCCCTGGTTGGCATAGATGTGAGGACGACCACGACATAATGACATGATGAAATTCCGTTGGAACTAACAGAGGCAGATGGTGGATGGATTTTAGATTGTTGCATGCTGGCAGTTCCTCATATATTTCTATTGTGTCTATTGTAAAATGGTAAGCTGAATGGCGAACGGCAGGTGCTCCGTGGCTGGATATATCATTCTTTTTTTATGAATCAAGAGAGGTTCAACCAATCAGAGGCTCTATCATCCTATTAGGCCGGTCTGGTCTTTGCTTTGAGAGCAAATCATAGCTGTTGCCAAGCCATCAAGGTTGACTGTTAGTGAAGTTTCTTTCAACTCCAACCCTATATTGGGTTGATCGTCAGGGGTTCAAGTGATGAAGGATAAATAAGATTGAGATTGAAATAACATGATATTGACCAGTGGCTGTCTGGTGACCGCTGGCCGGTGGAAAAGCCTTTTCTCCTGGGATAGCTGCTTGCTTTTATCATTCTTTCCATACCACACTGATCAGATCAGCTGAACAAGACTACCTCATCTTCATTAGCATCTTCATTACATTTTAGCATGGTTCGTGGGCATGAAGATGTCCATAAATGGGTGGAGGAGATTCCAGACTCTCAGCCAAGATCAAGACGATCCAACCACCCCCATCGGGAGAGAGCCACGGTCCCAGCACCTCAGAAACAATCCTCCCATACACGAAGACAGTTATGGAAGACAGATCAGATTGGAAAGGGTTTGGTCACATCCACTGTCCACTCTGCTGATCAGAGGACAGCATTGAGAAGATCCAATCATCCATCAAGTATTATATCACCAACAAGGCCGGGTCGTTTGCATCGGTTGCCGGTGGGAAGAAGGCTCCACAGTGGAGGAAGAGATGATGAGAGGTCGGATTCCAGTCATGAACTGCCAAGACCTACCGGGATCCCTATATCGAGACAGGTGAAGCATTCGCGTCAACATCTCAGTCGGAAGCGTCGGGATAGAAGCCCAGTGTATCTAGAAGTAGAACACAGTGAGCATTCATCTGAACAGACAGCATCACACAGGCAGACTCAACCTATGGCTCTAAGTTATCAAAATAAACACCCTGGATCGATGAGGCTATCTGAATGTCAAAGCCACCATGTAGAAATGCAACACCATGCTGGATCACGGAAGCGAGAGCGACCCTTGAACTCCTTGATTGAAGATGACTCTTCAAAGATCAAAAGATCATGGAGGCATCATGGCCGGGCTCCTCCAGAGTCAGTCAGAGTCAATAGGGATACTCCCCAGTGGACTAGACAGGGCCATAGGCAGGGCCATAGGCAGGGCCATAGACAGCAGACGGCATTCTCCAATCCCACTGGATCTTTAAATGATGAGGATGGTTCTTCTTCATTATTATTCCAGCCCTACTCCGAGTCATTCTATAGTGAAGATGACCACGCCCCAGAACAGCCATTACCCCTCAAGGATAAAGATCACCATATCTCTATGCAGTCAGCATCATCATCATCATCAGAACCCTCACATTCATTGGATTTGCCGTCTCATCAGCAGAGTGTTGACCCGCTCTTATCCTCAGAGCAGCTGCACTCATCACCAGCACCTCCACCATCTCTTCCCCCCAGGGCAACCCAGCTGCGGAGGCCAGCCACCACTCGCCGTGATGGTAGCCCACTGCCGCCCCGACGCATGTGGTCTGAGGAGGAGGAGAGACGTCTTCTCCAGCTATTTGTCGAGTATGGGCCAAAATGGAGGATCCTGCAGCTGATGGATAAGGAACATTCAGATGGTGCAGTTCTACAGGACCGTAGTAATGTTGATCTGAAGGACAAGATCCGAAACATGAAGGTGCGCTATGAAAAGTATGTATGATAAACTGCTTCTCTTCTCTACTTTCCTTCTCACTTAATATGATGCTGATGGTATACTTTCAGAGCAAATAAGATCCTGCCACCAAATTTCGAAAAGATCCATCTAGGTCCCAAGGAGAAGAGGGTAGTGGAGACATACACAGCCATTATAAAGCAACTAAAACGCTGAACCTGTTGCACTTTCGGTTGGAGAATTAATTCTCTTGGCCTCCATGGTGATGATACTGTTCTGTACTTCATTTTATTTAATACTCTATGATAGAAAATCTGACGATTATTACTATTTCATTCTATAGTATTATACCTTGTGCGATTCGATCTATCAACAACTTGATGATAAGCTCTCCTCACCCTCTACCTAGTTGTTCTTAATCTTTGAGGTATCTAGATTAGCACTATGCAGTGTAGAAATATAACAGTGTGAGGCCCAAATCCTCATATAGCTACACGTGTTGGAGCCTATATAGTAAGGCATGCAGAGAGGTTCAAGATTAAGGGGGTCTCTGGAACCGATTGTAGGTGGGATACTACGGCTACCCTAGATCACGTGCTCCCCAATCTTATTTAGTTGTTGCTCGGCTAGTTAGTTTTAATACAAAACAACGTTCATTCTATGACCCACTGGTATGAAGATACAGGGCTAACTCAGCACCCAGAACCACGCAGTGTATATAACCTCACTGGACCCCATATCTTCACAGGGCCAGTGAATAGTCTTATATCAATCACTCCTATGTTCAACAGCTTCATATATATATATCGTTATGCCCTCACATCGTTCCATCACCTCTGTCATGCCACGGCCCATGCGCCGGCATGCCCCGGGGATTTAACTATATACATAGGTGTGGGCGCCTATGATGCCGGTCGGTATCATAGTGTTTGGTTTTTTGGCCGAGGTGGTTAGGGGGATATATAGAGGAAGGTTCCCCTTTATTCAAACAGATATTTTCCATTTTACTTATAAGCTTTTTTATTTTAGTATACACTAATAATAAAATCTCGTTTGATTTCTTTTCCTAAAGTTATTAAGATATTTCAATTCACTTTGTTTATTATTGCATTTGTATTAGATATTAATTTTTCATATATATCTTTAATATATAGCC